GTAGCTATTTAACCCACCTCCCAAACGCATTGGCAAACAAACCTGTGACAGTTATAACCACTGTGTGGCAAGTAGGCGGTTTTGCAACCAATGATGACAATTCAACTTCGAGAAAATAAGCACTGTTTGAAAGAGGGTGGCACATCCATGTCAATGATGGTTGCAAATAAATCCGCCCAACTTTTTTTTAACTGAAATTTGTTCCTAATAGACTTCAAACACACTTTAATTTTGTGATACCACCGTATAGTTCTGCTGCCAAAAGAAAATAACAGTGTGGATAAGTATCCCACCCCAGATAAAATAAGCACTGTTTGAAAGAGGGTGGCACATCCATGTCAATGATGGTTGCAAATAAATCCGCCCTAACTTTTTTTAACTGAAATTTGTTCCTAATAGACTTCAAACACACTTTAATTTTGTGATACCACCGTATAGTTCTGCTGCCAAAAGAAAATAACAGTGTGGATAAGTATCCCACCCCAGATAACGTTCACTGTGGCCCATGTAAGGAACGAAACGTTTTGCGCCCTCTTAAGTATATTCAATTCAATCAACTCATGGCACACAGCGCATTTTAATTTGACACCTAACAGGGCCTCCCGACATGCGCCGTAAACTCACACATCCGCAAATTGAAAGTATATCCAGCACGAGGCAGACGGTCATCTTAATTTGCTTTTACCGAAAGAAACAATAAGAAAATATACCTGACTTTTGCCGTCTTACCTTAGGTTATTTTCAATCTGGCATCTAAGTAATGAAGTTTGCTTAAGCATCAGAAGATGCCTTGGAACAAACTGATTTTCATCCATGGTGGCTCATTTGAACCCAGTTGCCGCAAGACAACTAAGCAAGAGGAAAACCACCACCTATCTTCCAGATGAAACTTGCGGTATTTTAACCTCCCCAACTCAAATTTACAGTTGCTGGCAACTTGAAGAAAACCTTACCACCCTTGGCAGAATCAGATCGATCCGGTTAGCTGATTTAGTCAAGCGTCTGTGTCTGCCTGTTAGCGTGAGCATATTTCGCTAATTTCAAGTAGAACATCAGGTTGACGGAAACCCGGGGACTGTGTCTATCTGATGAGCCCCAAAAAGGGCAAAACTGGTCGTGGGTTGTCGACGGATTTTCAGCAACCTTATGGGTAGTACCTTACAAATTAAGTCTAACATAGGTTCGTTGGTGTAATTTATACTTTCTGCACAAAAATTAAAAAGTTTGCAAATGTCTTCTTGGAAAATTTTGGTACCAGTAGCGGGAAATTCCTAGTGGCAAAGCCAATTTCTAGGCCGAGCGGATAAAGTTGTGGGCCGACCAGAGTTTGAACTCCAAACTGACTACAGCTTACCTTTTTACGAAATAAAGATATAAAAAGGCACTTTTTCTTAATTATTCCACCATCAACGGGACGGATAGGGGGTTGGTGTTTACTTGCAGATAATTTGTCATTCCTATATCAGTTTTATCTTTCGGCACGCGAACTTAAGACAGTTTTTAGAGACTGTTTTTATGGGGTTATCGCTGAATTTTCCACAAGGTCACACCAGAATCATCCTGATGGGGAATAAAGACCAAACCACAGGTGCTCGATCCTGATTGGCTTGCCTCTTGGCCAATCAGGGTAAGCCTTCGTTTGCTGCCTGTCGGGGTCGTGAAAAATCCATCCAGTCGACGTTATGTCCGGTTATCTAGAACGGTTCACCTCCGAACAGAAATAAGGTTAGACGGCAACAACCTTGCCCCTGCTCACCATTCGACGGGAACTCTTCGAACAGTGATCGGACTCATCGATCACTGGACTACATCCTGCGTTATAACGTGTCTTTCATGTTTTATTCATTTACCGTACTGTCATACATACTTCAGTACTTTTGTGAATGGGTGCGTTTCATAAATATCCCAGATTTTGTATGGGCCGACCGCGACCATTATTTATCAGTATTGTTGCTATTGTTTTGAAAACTGGTCACTGATTGTCACCACCTACTAAGACAACATCTTCACGAAGATTCTGGAAAATGCGCCTTGTTTTCTGGAAATGTCCCTCTAAGGGTCTTTCACTTTGAATGCGCTCTGATATTTAGGATACAGTGCTCAATTTTACCTTGAGACACAAGTACTCTCATATTTACAATGGCACTGTGGCCAGCGCCATATTTATTTAGTCATAACCTTCAAGAGCAAGATCTCATGGGCTGGAGTCAGGCAGAGATTAAGTTGAAAGTTCACATCCTCTTCCATGACTCGTTTCGCATTGGAAGAGTTTATTGGATACATCCCAAAATGTCTCTCTTGTAGGTCGTTTAAACGTTTCAGTTCACAAAAACGTTGGTTTGAAACGAACTTGAAGGACAGACCCACGTGTGGTTCCAAGTATTCGTCGGTCAAAGTCGCTTATTCCCATGCAAACCACTAAATGACTCACGGTTGTTCGCCACACGATTCCCGTTCTATCCTTCTTCATCTGCTAAACCAATCACACCTGGCCTTCTAAAAAAACCATCAAAAGCCAACAAGTCAACTTAAAACTATTTCCATATGGGCGGCGTTTATTCGTTCATTCAATTCAGCTGACTCATCACTTCTGTCTGGCAGAAGTGATTGGACAAAACAAGACTGACATTGATTGGACAAGATCCAAGCGGTCTGAATGGTCCCAGTGGCCTAAAAGTCCTCCTAAAATTGAAAAACAAACAGGCGAAAGAAGTATACCCCAAAGTTGGGCTTGATAAAAAAAGAACATAGGAGGACTAGCCGAAAAAATAGTACGCAACCGACCGAATTTTATTGAGCTTGGTTTACAGTCGACCTCCGCCTCTCGACTTCTCCTGTCTAGGCTTGGGCAACCTGGCCCAGCCCTCGTGCCTCATTCGTGTGGCATGGTAGCTAGACACCGAAAGGGTGTTAGAGCTGGACGATTCCTCTTCTCCCGCCTTCAGATCTCTAGTTTTGTCGCACACTGAGTTGCCGACGGAAACAAATTTTACCCACTAGTGCGCAGTAATGAGCAGATTGAGTAACCAGCACACTTCGGCAGACTGCAGCAAAGGGATACCACGGTGTATAGTGGATTGCTAAATCCAGGCAAACCAGACAGATAAACTTTCAGGTATAGACGTAATACTGTTGTTGAAAACTCTTTGACAGCCCGCGACCGGTTTCGCCCTTCTTGGGCCTCATCAGGTAGGCGCAGTCCCCAAGTTTCGGTCAATCTTACGTTCTGCTTGAACCCAATTTGCCCGAAGTTCGACTTCTGCATTCATAATAACCTCATAAATAAGAGATTCAGCCAAGTTCCAAGTCAGTCTCCCCTAAAAATCTATATGATGTGCAGGTGAGTGTATAAGTCGATCGAACTTTACTGTATTTTTGCCCAATGAGTCTGAATGGATAAGCGGACACACCTCGCGATGAGTGCTGTGTTTCGCCACCTAGAATAACCCGTCAAAAGTGAACAGTCTGGAAGAGGAAACCTCTCAAATTTTTTTTCTAGATCCAAAAACATCCTTCTAGAACGAAGTCATGGAGGAAGCAAACGCGGAGTTGTGAGAAACCCGACCGGACCATCGACTAGGTAATCCAATTGTCCACCTCAATCTTGCGTAACGTCGGTCCGTTAATGAAAGGGTAGACTGTGGGTACACCTTCCGTCTGTCACTTGTTGTTCACTAAAACTTGCCTACTTCGGAACTCTCCTCAAAGTCACTTCCTCACACAATCCACCACAAAAAACTTGGAACCAACGGCCAGCAGGCTTCATCACTTATCCTCTCAGCTCCTGTCAACCTCTATGATCCGCAATGTCGGTTTGAGCCTTTCTATTTATTCAGCCAACCTCCGGCTTTGACCTGGTGGACATTCAGTAGCGCAACGATGATGTTATTTCAGAGAAACGGCAGTGCTTCATGCAAAAAAAGTTTTGTGTTAACATTTCTAACCCTGGGCTGTGTAATCAGTTTGCGATCTCTGAGTATCAGTTTTCTACAGCGCTTTCGTAGGCTTTGTCACATCTAAGTAGCAAGTTTTTACAGCGGTTTCACGGGTTGACCGCCGTCTTGTTCATTTTTTTGTGTATTTTGATCTATAAGGCGCCTCTGATTGTGAAGCTTTGTTTCTTCTCCTGTTAACAGTAGGAAAAACATTACCGACAAATTATGCGTGCGCCGGTGTGGAATTCGGTAGTCAACCAACCAACGTCATTGGCATCATCAGAGACGCCAACATCAGTGTTGACACTGACCGATCTAGGAGTACTTGTGAGGCAAAATAAAGGGGAGAGATGGCTCGGTGGTTAGATCGTGGATTTACTAACCAGAAGGCCCGTGGTTCGAACCCGACCTCTGGCTCTCAACTTCCCCTGTCTAGGCTTGAGCAACTTGGCAGTTTTCCAGCCCTCGGGCTTCGTTCGGGTCGCGTGGCAACTAGGCACCGAAACGGTGTTACAGCTGAACGAAAGTTCTCAGAAAGTTCGGTCTGTCGTTCGTGATAACAAAAGATGAGAAAACTACAATTGACTAATCGTGAGTCCCCCACGTGCTTTAATGGAGAAATATCTGTTGACTTAAAAATCCACTCGGTGATCTCCGAATTCTTGGTTGAAACCAATGAACCCATAATTTTGTAACTGCTGTCAGAGGCGAGGAAAACGAGTTTAGGTGGAGAAGCGTCGGGACAAGGGGCAATAGTTTGAGAGCCATAGTAACTTCTAAGCTAGAGTGATTTCATGTCACAAGTATTCCCGTTTCCAAGAGTGTAGACAACCGCTTAAGATATCCTGTCTCCAAAGCAAGCAACGGCTCATCTATTTTACAACAAAAAAGCCAATGAACATCAAGATTCCGTTCACAAGAAAGTCATTTCGAGCAGGAGGGTGACTGGTCTCACAGAGTTAACTGGAAATTGCGTTCAATCAAGTCGAAATGAAATTTGTAGTGTGCGAATCATCGGGATGGTAAACTATTAATCCCATGCGTATGGGGATACAGCCAACTCACCGTAGTTTCCGCGTTTTCCGCAGCTTCCTCGGCTTCTTTCTGTGCCTGGACTTCCAGTGCGACATCATAAATTGCATCATTCAAAATTTCCACATTCACAGCTTCCCGAATTTCCCGGGTGCTCGCCGCAGCCAGTTCCAACCGTTGCAGAGCAAGCCGCGCGGACCGGTCGATAACATAATTAGCCACTTCAGTGCGCAAAGAGGGGAGCACTTGTCGGATGCATGCCTTCTCACATATTGCTCGACCAAGTTCACGGAACTCATGATGACGTTGCCTGATGGCCTGAAGAAGAAAACACATGAATCTGTAACGCTTACCGCTTCCCTCTTATATCTTTATGCCTGGAATGGGACAAAATGCGCTACAGGAAACCGATTTTGAGTGCACAGTTTAATCAGCTGATTGGTAGCCCCAAAAATCTTGCTGAGGCCCACACCGTACAGGTCGCTGCGGTAGAGTATTCGGCTTGGAATTCCACAACACGGAGCAAATTTTTCTCCATCAACTTGTTGCCCTTCAAACTGGGAGTTGCCCAACATGAGGAACGCATCGGAATGGTTTATAAATTCAACTATCTCGTCTCCAGCATTCTCCCGAGCAACCCACCAAATGGTAGATGACCTTTTCTCTTGTTAAAAACTGCTTTAAGCCGCAGAGCTTGGACTAGATTGAGGACAAGAACCCGAGGTTTCGATGCCTACTTCTCTATAGGGATTCAAGATCTGACCAAACGCTAAAGGCTTTCCAGCGCTGGTGTCCCGATACCGACCAAAAGGCGCTATGGACCAAATGATATACAAGTGACGAGTTCAGGAAACCATTTTAGTGCTTTGAAAATGAGTTTGTTGTATTCGGCAATGTTCTCTGCATTGATTTGATTCTCTTTTTTGCAAGCGAGAGACTGAGTTAAAAATATAATTCCTTGGCTGAAGTTCATCCGGAGATCAGTGTCACCGTAACAAAGGATGAGTGGTAACACGGTCCTGTCAGGTCAAAACTAACTTCCAATACGTCATCATCGATAGCATGGCATCAGTATTCAACACCGAGGTTTCACTGCCGTACAACCATAATTTATTTGAAAGCCTTATTGTAAAGAAAAGAGTAAAGGTGAACGAGGAAGGGACTTCGTGCTGGCTTACTACAATCATTCCGAGGTGCCTATACCTCCAGACATTCACTCAGGCAATCTGGATAGAAACTGACAACAAGAACGCCACTGACATCGGTTAGCAGCCATATCTTGCAGCGTCTCCAATCAGCGGCAATAGGGACAACGCGGTCCCCATTCTGGAGGGCACCAAATCGTTTTGTAATATCTTTCATGCCCTTTTGCCAGGCCAAGGGTCAACCATCTCTCTGCTTACGCCACTCTGAGTTGGGCAGCCTCTCCGTTTACGCCACTCTGAATTGGACATAGAAAACAGCACCCTCTTCGGCAAACGATGGTTCGGCATACGCGACACATGTCCCAACCAACGCAGCTTCTGGTGCTGGACACATTCTTCAATGGAAGTACCCGTTGCACAACCGAAAACGCCCTTTCGAACTGCCTCGTTACGGATTCGCCGACAGCAACCCACACCAGCAATGTTTCTGTGACAACGATTTTTGAACACCTGAAGATGTCTCAGTTCCGCTGCTCCAACAGGCTAAGTTTCATAGGCATACAACAAAACAGCCCATACTGTAGCTTGATACACACGTCTCTTGAGATTCAGTGATGAACCACTCTGAAGCCAAAGATGTCTCAACTTGGCGAACGTGACCCAAGCCTCGCGGGTTCGTGCGTTAACCTCATCTGTCACACTACAATCAGAACTAATACAACTTCCAAGATACATAAAGCGCTCCAGAACTTCCAGTGCCTCTCCCTGGATTGTAGGTGGTGTGTTCAGTGACTGCGTGTCCAGAAGCATGACCTTAAACTTTGTGGATGCAAAGTGCATTCCAAAGGACGAGATGACTTTGGTCAGTTCATCCAAAAACACCTGCGACTTCTCTTCGGAGATGAGAACGATATCTCCTGCATATTCTGGCAGTTTGGGCTGGCCTTTTGTTGCGAAACGTCTGCGTAAGTGGCGTTGGCAGACCGCTCTGCATTAACTCGGACATGTTTTGTAGTCAAGTACCTGTCCCAAAGTAGACAATCATTCATACACCTTGGAGGACCCCGTCTTAAAGGGTGGATAACACCAACAGGATCAAAAGTTTGCGTTGCGAGCTCTTACTGCGCTCCACTCTGAAGTTGACGTGGGACAGAAACACAAGCTGTCATGCATGGCACATGAACAAGCCACAATAACCTGTTCCAAGTGATATGCTTGCTTCTCCGCCATACACCCGCCCCTGTTGTGTGTTCCTTCATTCTAATCCCCTTGAGTAATGACTTGAAGACATCTAAGATCCTCCTTTAGAGCCTTCCCCGGTTCCTCTTGAGCAGCGTAGACGCAAATGGTCTAAAAGTTCTCCCCTGACTAATAACGAGAGAAGCTCATCTTTGGAGCTGATCTCTATGAGATGAGTTCCTTATGCACAATAGTCGAAGTCCCACTGCCTGTGACCAAATGAAACCCAATGTTTGATTTGTTCCCGTATCTGGCCAGTGTAATCATACCTTCAGTTTGAATATATCAAACGAACGCAATTTATACTCTTGTTCAAAGCAAATGGAAAACAAAGCTTTCACGAAACAAACCATGAAGTTCAGCAATAGGACAGCTGCGTGCTTAGTCATTGTGGTACACCTGGTTTGGGGGGGAGGGTTCTATCCAACCTCGACATGTTAGTGAGTCTGTGACCTCAAAACCCAAAAATTTTCAATCCAGCCATTTTAGTCACGGGACTCTGTGACAGTCGAATTGACTCGCACCTGATCGTCCAAGCCTAGTCAGTTCTACCGTTTCAAAGACAACAAAAACAAACAGCAAGCTTACCTCACGTAACAATCCATCCAATAGGAAACGTGCTCTTCGTTCATACGACATGCTATCCAACACTCCCTCCACAAGTGGCTCCAAGAAGTTATTCTCGATATCTAACAGAATGGGATAACCAGCGACGAGTCAGTCACCTTAGAGAGTTCATTTCATCAGTAAAAAGGATTTTCACAAAACATGTTTGGGACCTAACATTAGATCGGTTTACTTGATGCCTCCAATTCAAAAAAGGACAAACTTCGTTCGTCCGTTGAAATCTTGAAGACTTGAAGACAGATTCTAGTTGAATCATTCATCACCCATCAGAAATTAGCTGTCAGTAGAATACTGGAGTGGTCCAATAGAAAAGATCGCCTGATATCTTGAATGGAATGTACCGGGGACGACTTCATGAGCATGGCGTAAAAAAATCGAATGTGTCAAACACTTATGAAGAATTTAGTTGGTTCCTGAGAAAAATTAACTCTCCAACAGAGTAATGTTATACATCAGAGTGTAACCATTGTGGTAGTTTGAATAATTTGTGTTGACATCTGTTGACTGTCTAAAAGGCACCATGGTCGCTGCGTTGTGTTTTCTTCACATGTTACAAGCCCTGACAATATCTGTCATCTGTTTATCAAGGCATATTCTTTCCTGGTCAGCCTGATTCTTGATCATTGATGACTGTCAGTCTGGGTATTCAGCAAGGCACACCAGTCAGCCAGGCAATCGATCAACACAGTAGCATTTATGCTGATACGAACGAAATATTTTTTACCTCTGGAGTGATGTTTGGGGTAGATGCACAGTCTGGACTTAAGTCAACTCAACTTCCTGGATAGAGAGTATGTGCCTGACTTCACTGTAGAATTGAACGTTGAGTTTCTGTTTGTGGGAGCAACTTTCTGGACACGCCAATCTGTCTAAAGTATGCGTGGATGAAAACATGATTTTGTATCGAATTTTCGTCAGCGGCCGATTCATTAATCAAATTCGGTGTTTAGGACAATCAGTGGAGCTGCAAGGGATTTCTTATTGGTTAAGTGAGACCAAGTTGTTTTTTTCACCGAAAAACCTTATACCAGTTGGCCACTTTGCCGTAGAATATCACTTTAGATGTAGCTGGTTCAGTCTGCAACTCGCAAGGCCATTCGGCTACATATATTGCAGCTTTCAACAACTGTTTTTTTAAATTCAAACCGGCTGTTCCACAAAATTTCACATGAGTACTGTCCAACAAGTTATAAGTGCCCTGCTTTTTTTAAGACACAGTACACAGAGAAAAATGAAATTTTAGACAGTATATGACCTGGCAACGAAGCACGAAAACACTAACCAGTCAACTTAGTCGGGGGGGGGGGCAAGTGCAACCTCCCTGGCTGGGAACTTCGGGAATAAAATCACCAGTGGTTACTG